TTACTAAGTATAAAATTTAATTCTTTATCATCTCTTACAAAAAATCAATTCTTTATCCATTTTTTTTTGTTAATGTACAGGGAAAAATTATTTAATTTTATAACATTGCACAATTTTTACTGGACAACGATCACATGGAGGTCACAGGTGTGCACTTAGAGAGGGAGTTTTATATAGTTCAGTCAGGGAATATGCTAAATTTGGAAGAATAACTGGTGAAACAAGTGAGTGATATTAAAGTTAAGAACTTTAAAGAATTTGTTGAAAGTGAAGTTTTTCCAAAAATTGGTATTGAAGAGAAAAAAAATATTAGTGAGAAAACTGCAAGGGTATGGTTAAAAGAACTTGGGTGGACTTATCAAAAACATCATAAAGATATTTATTATGATGGTCATGAGAGGGATGATGTTGTTAAATAGAGAGAAATATTCCTTACCCAAATGGAAGTGTTTGAAAGATTGATTCCTAAGCCAGATGAAAATGATATAATGATGATTATTGAACCATCCTTGAATCCTGGTGAAAGAAGGCACATTCTTGTTACTCATGATGAGTCAATATTTTATTCTAATGATGGAAAAAAAATTTTTGGGGGCCTAAAGGATATATGCCATTAAGGAAAAAAGGTACTGGTTTAAGCATTCATGTTAGTGATTTTCTAACTGAGATTGATGGAAGATTAAGATTTGAAAATGAAGAAGCTTGTGTCATTATGAAACCTGGAGTTAATTGTGATGGCTGGTGGACTTCTGAACTTTTAGTCAACTAAGGTTGCAGGAGAAACTCCTCTAGAAATCAATCGACAGAGTTTTGACAGGTTACACATTAATTGTTTATTAGAGTTTCGGCAGAGTTTCGCATTTGGGGCTTTCGCCAATCATCAGAGTTTTCATTAGAGTTTTGACAGAGTTTTGACAGTCATTAAGAGGTTTCGCCCACAACCTTATAGTCAACAGGTAAAAATATTAAAGTTAATTAATATCAGTTTAGAAAATTTAACAACCAAATAATTAAATTTCAGATTCTTGAAAAAGCAATACCAATATTTGAAAAACTTCACCAAGATTCAATTGGAGTGTTTGCATTTGATAATGCCACCAGTCATTCTCTTTATGCTAAAAATGCTTTGATTGCAAGAAGAATGAATATTAAACCAGGTGGAAAACAAAAATTTAGAGATGGAATAAAATCTGATGGATCAAAACAATTAATGCATTTACCTGATGGAACACCAAAAGGAATT